TATATATATATATATATATATATATATATATATATAAAAGAGTGGTTGATATATATATATATATATATATATATATATAAAATACTTTTTTAAATTATTATTTATTTTTTGTGGGTGATGGGCTTATATTGGGCACAGCTCAAATCTGTTCAAATTCTTTTCAATTACAGGATTATTCCTTCACTTCATATACGAAACATTACATAATTTTACAGTTTTATTAGAACACAAAGCACCATCATGGTGAACAAAACAAAAACATATTAAATGCATCCAGTCCTTCGCTTTTGCATGGAGATAACACGTAATATGTAACACAAGCAACATTTACTATGAAGACCTAATGGACAATTAGAAAATAAGAAGCAATTAAGAGAAACTAAAACCTCAAAGAATTCGTAATAACCCTGTCTGCCGTAATACATTAAAAACAGAGTATTTGAGGTAAAATTATTACAAATGACAGATGAAACAGAGTCATTACTATTAGTTGTTTATTTTCTTATTTCTTTTGCATTTTCCTCTATATATCTACCATTTTTAGATGGTTTTATAAATCATTCTTCTCCTGTAACAGGAAAGTGTTTATCAGTGAGGCTAACTAACCACTGTTAAGTAACATTAGCTAACCTAGCTAGCTGGCTTTCATACACTTGCACTCCTTTGCCTAGATTATGGGCAAAGCATTAACATTTTTGGGAAATTGTAGCACATGCTGAGATTGATTAAGGTGGTTTAACATTGCAGTAAAAAGTCACTGGAAAATAAAAAATATGGCCAATCTTATGCTAACGTGTTCACTAACTTCAATTATTCTAACTTCAGATATTGTTCACTGCTGTAGCCACATGTCTAAGTTAATACTATATCTAACATTTTCACAACATATTTGAATTTATCACCACTGGTAAAAAAAAAAAAAAGCTAGGTATTCTCTGTCATGATGAAGGAGCGGTTTTCTCCTCTAATCTTATTTGAGTAGTGTACTCTCCGCTACAGCTGCATGCAATGCATGCTTGGAAATATAGAAAAGTGACAGTGAAATACAGACACAGTAAACTCTGTTTGAATTATGCAGTGAAATAACCTGTTCAAAATGGATATTTCTGATTTCTTGTCCTGAAGGACAGGAATCTAGCAATTTGGTGATTTCCCTAAATAAACATGTCTGGTTCAACTCATCACTAAATCCAAGCTTTAATGTGTATTAGGGAAGGCAAATTACCAAACTCTGCTGGACTTCAGAGTTCAACTGCCCTGCCCTTTATCAGTGGTCTGGTCCTGACCATAGGATCACTGTTGGATGGATATTTTGGTTGGTAGTCTACTGGCAATTCAGCGGTGACTTTTAGAGTTTAAAAATCTCAGCAAAGCCAAATTGGTATTTCTTTTTCAGGTTAGACAAATAGTGCATAGCAACAGATGGGCTACAGTCAGTAATTGCATTCCTACAAATATCCATATAAAGAGCACCTATATGCTAGGTCTTTCTGATAACATTGCCCATGAGTGTAGGTACAAGATGGATGTAACGAATGAACCTCCTCAAGCATTAGCATTAGTTATATCTCCTAGTGCCTTATTCACTGCAAAACTTCTTCATGATTTTCATATACTGGTAACAGGCTACACATTATTCATATTATTAATTATTTCCACTTCAGATGCTAACAACTGCATTGTACATTGTATACATATCATCTTATTTTAAATGTGGTTTTAGCTACAGTGCACCAGCGAGCTGGAATTTACTACAGGAGTATCTAAAACCTGGCTCTCTGGTGTTTTAAATTTTTATTCTCTAGCTACCTTTAGACAGCCTGTAGCTGTTTCAGTTGATTCTATTTTTTTCTTTCTCTTTTTTATTTATTTTTTTTTCCAATCATTTTATTTTTATTTTTTTTATTTTATTTGGCTTTTCACAATCTTTTTACTTTATTATTTCAAATTTTAGTTTTAGATATCCTTTTATTAATTTATTAATTGTTTGATTCAAATTGTATTAAATTATATGAAATTAATAATCATTCATTTTAACTAGTACATCTTGGTTTAATTTATTTTGTTGTTCCCCTTCTTAATTAAATCTTAATTGTCTTGTTTGATTTTACTGTTTATTTGTTCATGGAGTTCTGTTCATTGATTAAAATCCATTTTATTTTCAGTCCCTTTGGCTGTAAATGCTTAGCTGCATTGAAAATGAGGGTCACCCGAAATGGATTTTTCTAACTTAATATCAGTCCTCAGTTTAAAAAAAAATATTTGGACCTTTCTACTGAATTAGTTATCTATCTAACCAGATATGTCATTAAACAAAAAATATACAAAATGATAACTTATAATGTACTTTCTATTGGGAGGTGGCTGTCCCAAACGCTGACCCCAAAATTTCAACTTTTGAAAATAATACTTAGATTTATTATTTTTTTAAATACATTTTTATTTCTTTTAAATGAAAAATGAAAAATTTGGATATATCAAAAGTTTAATTTCTTAATAAAAGTTTATTTTAAAAATCCTGTCCCACATTTTTATGTCTCACTGTCCTACTACCGAAACACAAAGTTTTAGTTCATAGGTGGAGCCTTATTTTAGTGACAACCCTGCATTTTAGAGCAAAGTGAGACTGAATGCCATTGTCTTGAAGTAAATGTGTCACAAAGTATGAAAAAATGTGGAAACTTAAGACACAGATGTGCCAGTCACCCATGCCATGTGTACTAATGCACCCCTATACCATCATGAATACTGGCATTTGAACTGTGCATTGATAACAAGCTGGTTGGTCTTAGCCCAGAGGACACAGTGTCCATGATTTCCAAAGAGAAATTCAAATGTTGATTCGTCGGACCACAGAACTTCCCCTCAGTCCATTTTAAATGAGCTCGGGCCCAGAGAAGGTGTCAGCATTCCTGGATCCTGTTTATATATAGTTTCTTTTTTGCGTTTAAGAGTTTAAATTAGCATTTGAGGATGCAGTGATGAACTGCTTTCACAGTGGTTTTCAGAAGTGTTCCTGAGCCCATGCAGTGATTTCCACTACAGAATCATGTCTGTTAATGCAGTGCCGTCTAAGGGCCCAAAGATCATGGCCAGAAAATACTGGTTTTTGGCCTTGTGCCCTGTATACAGTGATTCTCCAGATTCTCTGAATCTTTTAATGATTTTATGTACCGTAGACGATGAAAAGCACAAGTTCTTTGCTATTTTCTGTTAAGAAATGTTATTCTTGAATTGTTGCACTATTTGCTTGTACAGTCTTTCACAGAGTGGTGAACCCCTCTTCATCTTTACTTCTGAAAGACTCAGCTTCTCTGGGATGCTCATTTTATACCCAATCAAGTTACTGACCTGTTGCCAATTAACCACCAGGTGTTTTTTTAAGCATTACACAAATTTACCAGCCTTTTGTTGCCCCCATTCCAACTCTTTTTGGAATGTGTTGCTGGCATCAAATTCAAAATGGGCTCATATTTTTCAAAAAACAATAAAATTTCTCAGTTTCAACATTTGATACGTTGTCTTTGAAGCATTTTCAAATATAGGGTTTTATGATTTGCACATCGTTGCATTTTGTGTTTATTTGCATTTTTCGAAGCATCCCAACTTTTTTGGGAATGGGGTTGTATATTATATATACAAATATAACAGCTCCTTAGTTGAAAGCTCATGAGATCTACCATCTTTGGCTATTATTCTTGTTCAAGAAAATGAAAATAGAAACAAAATTCATGTCCTAATAAAGCAGTGGTGGAAAATACTTGTACAAAAAATTGTTCATTGTTACTATATTTAACTTGTGGAAGATTTGTACTTTGCTCAAGTATTACTGAAATTTAATACTTTTGCTCATTTTTTTACCCCTTCTAATTAGACCTTTGAAGTACTTATTACAAATCTCAAAGGCCATAAAATCTTTCTTTACTTTTTCTTAATTTATTTTTTCTATTGCCAGTCATGTTCCTCCACATTTTTTCTTTTAAAAAGGCCCTGTAATTTTGACTCTCTTTACTTTTAAATCCAATAGAATAGTGGAAAGTAACTTTGACTTCAGTATCCCAATGTTTATGGATGGCACTGCAGTATTTTTCTCCAATATGTTTTACTCATTTCATTAAAATTAATTTAACTTGTAGGTTAGGGGTGTACAGCTTTGTCCGTAAAGGGCCAGTGTGGCTGCTGCTGCTGCTTTCTTTCCAAACGTGCAGAGGCACACTGATTCAACTTGTTCAGTCAGCTGGTCTCAGCTTTCAACAACTGCACATGTGTGCCTCAACTTTGTTGCAGTGAAAACTTGCAGCCACACCAGCCCTTTGCAAACAAGATTGGACACCCCTTCTGTAAGAGTATGTTTTCCCATGTACACACCACTGGACCACTGTCATTTTCAAAAAAGGACTAGGTAATAACATAAACCACATCCATTTTATTATCAAGTGGCCTTTATAACACAATTAGAGAGGCAAATGAGTAAGAGGACTGAATTTTAGTTTTAGTAAATTAGCTTTGTATGTAACATTTTCGGATCTTGATGTAGCTGTCAGAATTCATCCCTTTTATGTACTCGTAAATATATTTAGTATATTTTTCTCAACATCTATCCGATATAATCTTCAGCTGCAACATTTTTTTTTAGTGTATTGATTTTTTTTTGTAGTCAACTGACCATTTACAAAAAACAAACAGAAAATGTTACAAAATTATGGTCTGATCCCCAAACATTTATATATGAATGCACAATGCAGTTCAGTACTGAATCACAGGAAAAGAAGCAATATGTGAGATAAGCATTGGTGATGAGAGTGTGAGTGATTGATGAGAAAAAAGATCTTAAAGAACCATGCTAAATTTTGTTTGCATCAGCATTCAGAAGACTTTTTCCAGACCCTTTTGAGCTCTTAAAATGTCCTTAGCATTTACTTAAGTAGCCTTATGTGGATGCCTCATATTCTAAACTCATCAGCAAACTGCTCTGAAATTCTGCGATGTTCTCATTGCAGGGCTGAGGTGGACTCTTGTGAATAGCTGCTGCTCTTTTGCAGCTATGGACGTTTTGGTACGACTTTGTACCTTCTCTCCAGCAAGCTTACCATGCTGAGCGAAGCCTCCAACGTGATGTACATGCTGCTGGAGCTACTGATCGCCCTGCTGTCCATCCTGGGCAATGTGCTGGTGTGTTGGGCAGTGGGTCTTAACACCAACCTCCAGAGCATCACCAATTTCTTTGTAGTCTCCCTGGCTATTGCAGATATCACTGTAGGTGTTTTGGCAATCCCTTTCTCCGTCATGATCAGCACAGGTTTCTGTGCCAATTTCTACGGTTGCCTGTTTATTGCCTGTTTTGTGTTAGTGCTGACACAAAGCTCCATTTTCAGCCTACTAGCAATAGCCATTGACCGCTACATAGCCATCAAGATCCCACTTAGGTGAGTGGATTGAGTTTATGGATTAAGAGCATGTGAAGTACATCAACATGTAAATATGTTGTGTCAGAATCTAATTTTGTATTTTTGTCAGAGAAGTTGTAGGGAAGCGTTTCTCAGTAATGAGAGAAAGTGTCATTCAGAACATTTTCTACTGGTTTTTATCATTTATTTTTATTGACCAAGAAACTGCTTTTGCACTGAATATACTTTAGGCTGTAATTGCTAAAAACCTAGACTGTATCACTGATATTAGTGGTGGTTATAAAAACTGACTCTTAACTCTTGGCTCAGCAATGATTTTGATAATAGTGTCCTCACACCCCCAACTATAATCTAAATCCTCTTTTTTAAAAGTGACATATAATAGGAGATTAACATACCATTCCATCTCTCATAAAGGTGAATGTGTGTGTTCAGGTCACTCATGCAGTCTATTATTATATCTATTTTACAGTATTATCTCCAGCCCTTGAGTAGCTTCTTCCACAATATATAGCAAGATGTCTGAAACTTGTGTGTGTGTCTTAACATACTGTCTATCTCACTAGCAATTCCTAAGGGTAATATGGGGCCAAGAATTATTTTTTCAGCAGCACTCATTGAACTTTCACATCTGGAGAAAGTAAGGAAAACAGACCAAGACACTCAGCTGTTCTCCCACAGTGACCAAAAGTACTCTGAAAATAGATTCTAACTCCAAGCAGTTGACATTTCAACTTCTATTTTTTTTTTACATTTATTACTCCTATGAGCTTGGTTCTGGAACATGCTGTGAATGAAGCAGTGGTTCTGTGGCTGTCTTTTTTTGTTTTTGTTTTCCATTTGACACATTTGTAGTCCAAACAAAAAAAACACCCTATGATACTTATAAAAAAAAGAAAAGAAAAAGGCACAAGCAGAATGAGCAAAACAATAATACAACTAGAGCAATGTGAACAAAAAATAATATTTTATAAATAATATACAATAGTGAATATAGAAAAAAAAGAAATCAGCCTGTTATTAGATAGAACTATTTGTTAGAGGCCTATTAGAGTGACAGATGCAAATAGCTCTATGAAAACCAGTCACTGTGACAGATTAGGGGCACCTGATCAAGGCAGATGAAGTGACAGCATCAGACTGAGAACTTGCTACAACATCAGACCAACATGATGAGCACTTGTCAGCTCAGCAAAGAAACTTAAAGACAGTTAGTTCTGTTCAGAGTGACTGTACACAACATACAGTGTTAATAGAGTGCAAGCAGTGACTCCGGCAGGCCTAAATATTACCGCCTAACTAAAAAGGGAGAGCCAGAGGGTAACAGAGGGCTCCCTAGGAAGTCAGGCCCCTCCACCGTCTACAAATCTGAGTGAGGGTGTGAGAGGGGCAGGGAGGCAGCACCACCATTCTTGGTTTACCAGAATGCTCTATGTCTTTGAACCCCCACTCTTTTGTCTAACAGGTAAACTAATTACCAAGCTCTTCACTAAACAAGTAGGTATTTGGCCTAGACTTAAAAACTGCGACTGTGTATGAGTCCTGAACACTAACAGGAAGGTTATTCCAAAGCTGGGGACTTCAAATGTAACCCTCCTGTAGATTTATTAATTCTAGGCAAGCTGTTTATTGTACTAAACACTAACAAATAAATCTCTCTCTTGCTCCTTTTCTCTCTCTCTCTCTTAGGTATAATAGCTTAGTGACTGGGCAGCGTGCCAAAGCCATCATTGCGGTCTGCTGGGTTCTGTCTGTGATAATTGGGCTGACACCTATGCTGGGCTGGCACAAGGGCCATAGAGTGGACCTTTTTAACAGCAGCTGCCCTCCAGGCACGATAGAGTGTCTGTTTGAGGAGGTGGTGATCATGGATTACATGGTCTACTTTAACTTCTTCGCTTGTGTATTAGTGCCCCTGCTCCTCATGCTGGCCATCTACCTACGCATCTTTATGGCTGCCCGCCACCAACTCAAGTGTATTGAGCTGAAAGCCATACCATGTGAGCTCAAGTCACGGTCCACCCTACAAAAGGAGGTCCAGGCAGCCAAGTCACTGGCCATCATTGTTGGACTGTTTGCAGTCTGCTGGCTGCCACTGCATATTATTAACTGCTTCACACTGTTTTGTCCACAGTGTGAACGACCAGCTGTGTGGATTATGTACCTGGCTATTATACTCTCTCACGCTAATTCGGTGGTGAACCCTTTCATTTATGCTTACCGCATCCGGGAGTTCCGGCATACCTTCCGAAAGATTGTGCACTATCACATCTTAGGTCGACAGGATCCTTTGTTGAGCAGTGGAAGCAGTCAGGCCTCAGCCCGTGCCAGTATGACAGATTCATTTAGCGTGAAGATCAATAGTCTGGTGCAGGACTTCTACGCTGAAGGTGGCAGTACAGCTAGCAGCTGTTAATGCACCAAATGTGAAATGGCAATGTTCCCAGTGTATCTCAGCCAGGAGCAAGGCAACCTACAATAAGAAATCATCCACTAGGGCTCCCAGAGTCATCCTTTGCGCCAGACATAGTCGTGCAATACAAGCAGGTACCTGCAGTGCTGGAGGAAAGAAATGGGAAATACATGATATCTGTCATTCATGACAAATCTGCACTTTACCAATGTACCACTCACTTCCATGAGCATTGCTAGAAAACTTTGAAATAGGTTGTAATGATCATTTCTTTTGCCACAAAATTTTGATGAAGATTTTGATGTGCATTTTATTCTTGAATGTGAACAGTGACTGTAGTTGTTGTCACTTTACTATTCAATTTCATTCTACTATTTAATTGCCAGGGCCTGCCAGAGGGCCAAAGTTTTATTATACGATTCTTTAACCTAAGAATAGCTCATCCAGTTTGCATTGAAGTCCTTGTAGTTACTGAATAATAAGCTTTAGTGTGTAATAAACCTGGGGTTTTAAGGGGTTAGGAATTATCCCAGCACCTTCTGCTGGACGCCCCTGATCTATTTGCTTTTTACTTTTTCATTTTATCTAGTGAAATTGTTTCATTTTGTTTGTTTTAAGACATTAGGCAGACAAATTTCAAGAAGTAATGCTTGAAAATGACCTGCTAATAAAATAAGACAATTTCACCAGATTACTTTTATGTAAAGTAAGTAAAAAATCTGGAAATATATGAAGTGATCTGATTGTTCTCAACAATCTCAAAATAAGAAATATAGATGTATCAACAATATTTAAGATTTCACTTGCCCATTTATTTATGCATACATTATGATAGGTATCACTATAACAACTGTACACGTTTGTACTATTCATTATTGTGAAGAGTTCTAAATCTGTTCAGTGCTATTTTGTCAGATGATGCAAAGTTCCAACACAAAACACAAAAAGTGCTTTGAACTGATGTAATTGCCAATGTTTTTTATACTAGTTGTTTGATTTGATTGACTTAAGACAGGTATCATTGTCTCTACTGTTTTATATAAAGGGGAAATGTTTCTAAATGTTGTTGTTGTTGTTTTTTTTGTAGCAAAATGATTAACCTAATTTGCTATTGTCGATCATAGGTTATTTTAATTTTATTGTTTTAAATAATAATTTTATTTTTCATGCTGTTTATCTCCAAGATAAAGAAGCACTGCAGAGTTTCATTAAAAAATAATGTGAGCACATTTCTCAGTAATATTGCTCAGTTGTATGTAGATGGTCATCATCACCCAGTGTTTGAGGACAGTTGTGCTAAAATTAGAATCTTCTACACAGTAGTTTCACATTCTACATAAATGTGTTATGTAGGACCAGCATTTCCTGGTTCTCTGCTCACTATTCAAAGGCAACATTGCTGTAGATGATGCAGGCCAAAATACTTCAAGGAACTGTCTCATGGCTACAAACTCTTCAAAGGCAACGTTGCTGTAAATGATATAGATCAAACTACTTTAAAGTGCTATCTAATGGCTACAAACTATTTGATAGCTAACAGATTTTCCACAATAAAGTCCCAGTGTATCTTCTTGCCTTGGCTAAGAGGAGTTTCAGCTAATAAATGTGATAACAACAATCTCATTTAGCATATCAGGTGCCAAAACTTGCATCCTTTCAGAGAATTTTGGTAGTACATAAGCAGAGGGAAACATTCTGTGCTTCACTGTGGCTGTCTTCCAGGGATGAAAATAATGAAACTATCCCCAAAGAATTTCCCTCTTGAGGTTTTGTTCTCTGTCACACACTGTGGGGTCCTATGAGCCCACACTTATTAGCTTTCCCATCCTTCTTCTAACATTCCGAACGATTTCAGTTTACATAGGGTTGCACCAGTGCATCTCAAGAGGTGGTGAGAGCTTTTTGTAAGGTCATACTCAAGCACACTTTTGCCCTTTAGGCTTACATGTACTATACAGAACAGGCAGTCACTAACTGAACAGTGACACAATATTTGTTGTTTTGACTTCAGCACATTTGAAATGAAAGAATGACTTTGAGGTTAAAGTGCAGAATGTCAGCTTCAATTCAAAGGTATTTACCTATATAGTGGCTTAACCTATAGGAATCGCAGAACTTTTTTATGCAGAACTCCTCCTGGAACAACTGGCTACTCAATAGATATGCCCACATAAGCACCCCCAGGTCTTAAGCTTTTTTTGTGGAAACATAAATGCCATTCTTGAAAATCACTTCTAAAGTGCCCTGTGGTCGATATGTTTTGTCCTACATACATTTTTCATTTCCAGCATCTGAATTACAAGGTTGTTAGGAAGCCAAAATACAAATATTGCTGAATGCAAGCTAACACTTCTGCATGCTGAATTGACATCATAAGAGTGGCAACCTCAACAAGTACTGCATGGAAGCCAGCAAGTGTCAAATGTGGTGATTAAGTTGCTTTGGCAGTAGTAGCCTACATCATAATGTTGTTATATAATCATGTTGAAGTACAGTATTAGACTTACAATTAGCATTTATAAATGCTTATAGGCATCATCTATCATAAAGGCTACTTTAGCTAATTTTGATCAAAACTGGCAAATGCACCCTTTATAGTGAATGGTGCCTATTGGAATAAGTATGTATAAACAATTATGAAGGGTTATATCAGTTGCTATGACAAGCTTATGTAGGCATCATGAACAATACCCTACAGTAACACCACCCAGTGTTCACATCACAGTGCACTAAATAAATAGATGAAAAAAAACTAGCACTTACTGCGCTGCTTCTGGAGGAGAAGGAGAAAATGTCTCACAGATTTCTTACCAAGACATTAGCAACATTAGCAACTTCAGCAAAAAGTGCTTTTAACACCACCAGCACATTTTTGTATTAAAATTAAAATTAAATTCTTGAAACTTCAAATACACATTGGGGCAAGGCTGTACACTTCCTAGCACATGTGCTTATAGACTAAAAGATAAAGTAGCACAGAGGAAAATCATAAACACATAGCTGCGGGGCATGCGCAATGTATAGGCAGAATGATGGGCCTCCACATCATTGCCTTGCCTCCATGAAAAGAGTAAACGTACTGATTTTCTGATAGAACTTGCTGTTCGGTTGTTACTGCTCATAAAACCAATTAACTGATTTGATATGGGCTAGCACACTTATCCTGTATCTCAATACTTTTTTTGATGTCCTGCACTTTTTTTTTTCTTAAGAGAAAAATCATCTGCAACCTAAGACAATTGTGATGAGATTAAATTCTAGAAACCTTAAAATGGCATTTTACCATTGTTGCTGTTTTAAACATCCCAACAAGATAATATTTTATAATTGTGAATAAATAAGGGCACATAGTGTCTCACTTGTAAAATATTCATGAAATATACTCTTTATTTTGTAGCAGTATTGCAGTTACTTACTAACTAAAACATGCCTCTGTGGGAATCGGTTGATATGAGTTTTCTCATTTTCAATGATCCGCACAAACAAAGCACTCTGTTGTGAGTAAGTAACAGGCCAGACCTCTATTTATCAAGCATCTCAGAGTAAGAACACTGATCTAAGATCAGGCCTCATTGACCCATGTAGTCCTCTTTGGCGGTATGTTAAAAACATAGCGGATCATCATTTAGTTTCATGTGCTTGGCACCTAAAAATGAGAAAGATTTAACATTTGTTTATTGTATTGTATATTTCATAACAATTATAGATGTGTAATTGGATGCATTTAGTGTTTTATTGAAATGGTTTTTACCTGGGTATTCTAAAAATTATTAAGAGGTGCATGCAAAAATAGTAAAGAGCTAAATAATTAGGGCATTTAAGTATAATTAATTTCATTATCAGAAATATCAGTCGAGAAGGTCTGCTTATTGAAATGTTCAAAGTTTTTCCACACTAGGATTTATTTTTTCTCCTTCAGGCAGTGATAAAAAAACAAGATCAACTATACCTGAGTCAGCATTTTTTGTTTTTTATTTGTTAAAATCTAATAAAGCTAGCGTTCGTTATCTACACTTTTGAATCGAACAATTACTGAACCCCAAATACTGGTAGTCTGTAGCATCAAAGAAAATATTAGACAAAAAATGATTTAACCTTATATTTGAACAGTTTTTTTTTGGATCAGTATAAGCATGTTATTGTATTTAATTAAGAATAAGGAACTAAAATCTCCACAGGCTCATTGCAATCACAACAAACATATTTTGATGAACGTAAAATATGTTATGCTACATGTCACATAAACACAAAAATGTCTTTTTATCTATATGGCCATTTATTTACCACCTATACAACCACTTTCTGTTTTACTAATTCAAAAATGTAAATAACATCTTCAATAATTTAAAGAAGTAAAAGTCAGTGCTTGTCTTTTATTGTGAAACCCAATTGGCACATGAGATGTTCATTTAATCGACACAAGCTGGATATTGTTCTACGAGAAACAAACTCGGATGAGCAAATTTCTTGTTCTTCAGCTGTATAATCATGGTCTCAAGTAGAGTTTTTTCAGGTGCTGGGTGCTGATATGATGCTCTTCATGGAGGTGGTGCCAGTTTTATTCTTGAGTTGATTGACAGATCCTTTCTTTGGGGGACCCTTTTTGGTATGCTTTTTTGAAGGATTTGACAGCTTTCTGAAGATTTCTACAGTAATAATAAAAGACAAAGCTCATTAATTTTGTTGCTTAGCAAATAAAATACAGAAATACCAGTTTCTTCTTAGGTGCACATGCAGGAATACATTGTAGGTATAATGCTGACTGTAGGCCATGTTGCTGCACAGTTTGTCAGCCACCCTCTATCCCACCCATTAATGGAAAGAGACAGATCACAATAGGACCTCTACTGATTAGATATTACTTGGGTATCTCAGCATATCAGTAGCGGCATATTGTAGGGTGTTGCCCTGGAACAAGCGTATCAGGTACAAAATGTTACTGTGCTTACTTAAAACGTAAGTAGACGCACCTATATTGTGAATGTACAGTTAGAGTCTTAGAGTCTTTATTTGTGGCATTATGCAGTGATGTGTGGTGCGGCGACTAACTGCCAGTACCAGTTCTCGCACAAAGACAAATTACCATTGTTATGGGCATTATCATCTTATAACAGTAAAATTTTGTTAGAAAGACTCAACTGATTGATAAGAGAAAGAGAGAAACATCTCCTGGTCTTTGCAATTTTTTCTATTGCCTTTCCATTACTTTACTAGATTACTAGATCTATTGAAGTGTGTTGAGTGTCCACTCTGGCAGTAGAACTTGCCCTAAAATCATTGTGAGCTGACGCATTTCATATCCGTGAAATATCTAGTCTGCAGTGGGCCTGTAATAGTCCATTTCTATTGATGGATGGGGTAGAAGGTGGATGACAAACACAGCAACAGATGAGCTACAGTCCTGCACAGATTGCAGGTGTTGTGCCTGATGAAACGGTAAATGCTCTGTAAGTGGATATAAGATAGATGTACCAAACTGGCAACTCAGAATATCTACTAAAGCTGAGTAAATATATATAAAAAATTATGCATATACGAGGATGCCATCTTCTCTCACTGGTAGAACTATGATCTTAAAATCTAGTTAAAATGCTCTAAATAGGACATAACAGTCTTGATTGCTCAATTTTACCTTCTAACTCTGCATTGCTGTTCCCTATGTCACCATCATGTATTGTGGAATAATGAAGGTCTTCATTGCCCTCAATGCCTGTGTTAAATATAGTTTTACTTAAAACTTGTAAAATGTAGCTGCAGGAAAGAAAATGGTTCTTGGATTCTTTCAAGACAGACTCACGTGACACACATATTAAGATGTAGCTTTGTCTGTCTCTCAGTAAAGTGCTTAGAAGGTCCGTACTGTGCTCGCTTTCTGTCAGGTTCATTAATTCTCCAGTCCTGTTCATCAGGTCCAGACCCCCTACAGCAAAGGAGGGTACATTTGTATCATTACACTTACTTTCCTGCTCATATAACTAAATAAATCTCTATAACTATGTAATCTATTACTATGTTCTTTTATGTATAGTAACAGTATATTAAACAAATCAAAAAGATTTTTATAAGTATTTATATAATAGGAGATTTAGAATTCAGAAAATACCTTGAGGATCCAGATTGCACCTCTCTTTTAAACAATGGACGAAGTTTACAATCCTGCAGTTTAGGTTAAATATCTCCACTCTTCCCTCTAATACAATCGAGAAAAATAAACCCAGGTAAAGCACATAACATAGCTTGTGTTCTACATACAGTACAAATGTATGCTATCTAACTTTAATTTGAGAGAGCTGCTGAATCAGGTAAAATTTTGCATAACATCATTCTGAACTTACCTCCAAGAATCACAGTAACAAACATCTTTTCTGAGCTGATGAGAAAAACAGCTGACCCTGTCAGCAGTGCATTCAGAGATATTAAAGTAAAGAAATACTATCACCACTGAACTAAGCAATAACTGCTGGTTTAAGATTTTTGTTTCATACACGCTTTTATCCCCAAGCTTCATTATCCCCTCTCGCTCTGTTCTAAACACTTGTCTCCATGGAGTCAGTACACAGAAAGACAAGCCTTGTCACTTTAACCACTGCTTGTAAGAACAGGGACCTCTAGCTGTGTACGTTTCCTAAATTTTTCTGGTGGCATGAGTGTGTTTGTGTGTGTGTGATCTACTTAAGTCCAATAATTACACTGAGATAGAAGTAAGCTATATTTATACAAAATTATCATTCACTGGAATGTGGCTGTTCCAAACCCTAACCCCTAAATTTCATTTTGGGAAACTTATAATTGTCCCTTACATGTACGTTTTAAAGTCTGATTCTTGTCCTCTTTTACAGGCTTCAAAGTCCGAGTCTAGGGCAAGTCTAGGGAGTATAGGGCAAGACTTAATACTTGTTGTCTTAGTGGGGTTATAAAGACGCCCTACAGCTCCTTCTCTGCTATTGATGAAAAAGCATGTCTATTTTCTTTTTATAAGAATTCAGAGAATCTTATACTAGGTGATTTTAAATTAAATTGGTTGAATACTGCCTCTGACTATTTGAAAGAAGTCTATGACAACCTTAACCTCTCACAAAAAAAAAAAAAAGAATTGATGTAAGACCAGGTTTTCAAATATAACTTACAACTGGATTGTCAGAAACTTTTAATAGGGTAAAAGGAACATAAATTATGCAGACAGTTCACAGGACCATCTCCACATCCTTGTCCTGAATGGTAACTGGTTTCACAGGGCCCATAACCCCTCTGGAAAAGTAAAAAAAAACATGATCCTGACTTTGTCCTGAAGTGAGTATGCACTGTCATGGTTGAAGGGAGAAGGAGTGTATGGAAACAGTCGAGAAAAAAAAAAAAGATAATAAAGAGAAGTTAATGTATAATCAATGTGTAAGCCTTATACTGATAGGGGCACAAAACTAATTATATTCACTGAATAGCCACAAGCATGCCCTGTTGACAAAATATAAAGAGAGAAATTAACCATTGCAAAGAGGACACTTCCCCCAATTGTAATTTCCATAAATGCTAACAAAATATACATATATATGTATATATATATATATATATATATATATATATATATATATATATGTCAAATGTAAAAATCAAAGATGTTTTTTGAAAAACCGTGCTCGTTGCATTTAGCCTATATGATGTAAATATATATATATATATATATATATATATATATATATACAGAGAGAGAGAGAGAGAGAGAGAGAGAGAGAGAACCAGTTATGGATTCCAGCTATGGATTCCAAGACTTGCCACATTTTTCCACATCAATATTTAATAAAGCATACTGCAACTATAGCATTGCTAGATTCTGCTACATAAAGTGGAAGAACGTTTGTCAGTAGCAAGGCGAATAATAAATAATTAATTAGAATTAAATTTACAGATAGCAGAGACTGTAACGTTTTTTGCTCAAATCTTTAAGCAGTATCTGCCTATCGTGTTATGCCAGTTGAGAACGTTACTGTCAGTGTTAAGTGTTGGACCGTAGACCAGTGACCATCATCCTGATTAGTGTCTTAGGGTCTGAAGGGTCTGAAGCAGTTAACACAACAGCCTTTCCAGTGATTTGAAACCCAGCGGACATTAGGCTACATTACATCAGCGTGTAGAAAGTAGCCTGCAGGAGTAGCTTGTTTTAGAGCTTGATCCGCTCAAGTAACGCGCTGGCCTGAGGCTTTTTAGTGTGAGCATTAACAGTTGCCATACCTCTCAGAATGTCTGAAAGTTTATTTGAATCTGTCGAAAAGACGTTAGAAGCTCATATCCCTGAAGCGGAACTCAAAGAGATTAAGCGGATTTTATACGGAAAAGAACTCAAGTAAGTGCACAGTCACGTGCTGATTCTTCACTTTCAGTTGCTGTCTTCAGTCATGCCCCGCTATAAATTCCGCTATAACGTCATAACGTATTAGACTTAGAGTTAGTTCTTGTAATTTATGTCATGTTTAATTGTCTTATAATGTTAATGATTTAAGATAACGTCAAAGGTAAACCTAAACTCTTTAAAAATGGTTCTTTACTAAAGAAAATGAGCACTCAAAGAACCCTGGCATGATTAAAGTGTTCCTTGCATCGTGAAAGGGTTCTTCAGATTGATGGAGAATGTGCTGTAGACGGTTCTATATAGAACCTTTTTGAAAAGGGTTCTTCTATTGTAACAAGACAAAGGGTTCTTTGATTGTTTATGGTTCTATATATAACCAATTTCTTCATTAAAGAGCATTTTAAGAGCCATTTTAACAAGCTGCAATATTTATCATATATATGTGTATGTACTTAAGAGTAAGAGAACAGTGTTAAGGTAAAGTAGCCTATTAAACATGAAACCAAACCTTTTAGTATTCCTAAGATTAAAGGTGGAAGCGTGTAAATGATTGATCACAGACTTTGCCCAGTCTGTATGCTAACAGCCTGAATCTTGGACACATTAACCCAGGGGTGTGCTGGGATGTGAAGTAAACATTAATTACACAGACATTGACCCTATTTTCAATTTTAAGTCTTTCACTTCTAGCTTGCAAGAGGGCTAACTTGTGCTTTATTGAACCCCAGCAATCACATGCTAAAAGGTCTGTCCTTATTTTAGTAGTTACATATTCTGGATATCATACTGATATAAACAAAATAATAAATGTTTGAAGTAGCCCATAGGATGTTAGGGGTGGAACAAGGGTTTCACCTTCAGAGAGAGTTTATTTAACCATTAAACACAGAAAGGGACAGACTGCCCCTCTCCCCTTTATCCTTATTGAATGTTTTCTTTTTTCTCCTAACCAGATTGTTGAGTATCCTTGCACTCAATGATGTCAATATTTACATAAACTTATTGTGTGTTTTAAAAGAGTGTAGTAATGCAGAGAAAGCAGCGGTTTTGCAATGCAAGGATAGCCCAGAGATAGGACTGGGAAACTATTGTATTGTATTGCATAACTGTTCTATTCCATTTTTAAGGCACTGCCATGGGATCCCAAGTGTCATGCTACAGAATGGAGAGCTTTAAAAAAAAGAACAGTTGTCCTTTAAGATCTTGCCTCACACCTGGCTTTTTTATCATGAACCTTATCACTCAAAAAAAAAAAATCACACACAGGACTCTGCACTAAACATTGACCACTTTTAATTTATTTATACTATCTCCTGCTTGCTTGCACAGCATTATATTGCTTTCACTTTGGACATTTTGCACCTTGCACTTTACTTCAAACAATGCCATGTGTACATTGCACATTTCATATATTCATTGTGTTTATAGTGTACATTTCATAGATGGATATTTTGTTATATATTTTCTACAATATTATTCTTCTATTAGACTGCTGTTTCTTATTACCTTATTGCTTCACGTGAGCAGGCAGTTATCCAAGCTTTGAAACTTGAAATTATAATACAATAATTAGCTATTTTATAATACCAGGATTAATTTATTCCCAAAAACAATGTAGAACAATGAAAACTGTATAATTGAACAAGTATTTTTTTACGTTAAGTCAAAATAGCAATTTAAATTGACTGAAGTCACAAATGCCATACACAAAAAAAAAATTCATACAAAGAGTTAGAGATTGTTCGGCCGTTGACCGTTGTAGATTAAAATAGTTCTTTTAATTTTTTTTTTTCTTTTGCCAAATACTTCCATACTTGTCAAACAGATGGGTGTTCATAAGTGCTGGGAAGAGATTATGAAGCTGGGCATGATGTAGTAGACTAAGACACAATGTAGCCAGTAGGCTAGTAGGATAAGTGATGTGAAGCCAAGGCACTATTTGGACTGAAGCACTCTGTTCTCTTTGGAGATTTTTTTGCACCTGAAACAGCAAAGATGATTGTCTAGTTAGCAACAAAGGGATATACTGCAAGTGTGTCAATGACATATGTATGTTGTCTGTTCTTGGTGACTACATGGAGTCACAACCTAATTGAACATGTTTATGACTGACTTTTAGGTTGTCTATTGGGTGGACATGTTCACTGTTTGCCATTTGCCAAAATTAACCTAATTAGGAAGAAAACACAGATTTAGGTTCCCTTGGTCTTTAAATCATTAGGATATAAACAAAGTTATCCAGAATGTATTCTCAAATGCTCCATTCATTTCATTACTGAGAAATGTTTACAGCTGTGGTGATAGAAACCAGATGTATGAAGCATTTAATACATCTAAAAGCTACCTCACAGAAAGCTATTAGATGAAATGGTTACAAGTACACTACCTGATGTCTGATATCTGGCCCATCAGCAAAACCAGCCTTCTAAGCAAAGGCTGTACCTTTTCTATAGGGTAGTGGTTTCCTGTAGGTGTTTTTGGACTAGTACCCACTGAGGAGCATTAATTGGTAGGGTAAAAGAGGTGGTAGTGTCTCTTATGTGATTTTTTATTTTCATTTTTTTTTTAATTTTGTTACATTTTTTTTATTCAATTTTTCCAGCGGTTTAATCATAGCCAGCTCTCACCCATTAGCTAGGTCCTTATCTTTGGGAGAGTGAAGGCTAGCAAGTACTTGAGGCATGAGGCATGATAAGCACCACTGCATGTTTTCATCTAGCAATTACAGCAACATCATTGCATACTTCACCAACCTTACGAACTTGTGACACAGGAAATATATTTCTCACTTAATCTAGAACTATTGAGCTGTTTTAAACATTTTCCACAGTGTCTTGGAAAAAGTAACAAGCAAAAAATATGGTATTAATGCAGAAGCTGAAATATTTAAGTTTCAAGTTTATTTGTCATTTGCACAACATGTCAGGACATTCATGCATTGAAATGCTTGTGGTGAGGCTCAGGTAATCACTCTATAGAAAGTAAACAAAGTAAAAATAAAAATACAAGAAAATACTGAAACTGAAATATATTAAATATACACAAAATATACACAAAATATAGAGACAGGAGGGACCTACGTAAGGAGAAAAAAATCCTCTCTGCTATGTACAAATATATTATACAAGGGATAATCTGTGAAGAATATATACGTTTTAAAGTGACTTAAGTGACTCAGTATTATTGTTATTTAAAGTGACTTTGTGTTAAAGTGTTATTGCCCATAGCATAGATATGATATAATAATAATACTGACAAAGTGACTGAATGAAATGGTAGTTGGGGAAGGACTCACAGCTTCACAGAAACTGTTCATTAATCGGGTGGCCTGAATGCTGTGAAATCTCCTGCCTGATAGCAGAATGGTGAACAGGCTAATGGCAGAATGGTGAACAGGCTATGGCAGAATGGTGAACAGTTTATATATAATGGTTACCATAAATAACCTATTGCTTTTTTTGTCTGATAATCAGTTACCATGTTACATTTTTTAGTAATCCTATTGGGTATATGGTATATTTTAGAGTAAAGCTAAAGATTAGAAAGAATGTGGTGCCAGCATATTCACTAATGTTAACAGTGACCTGCACAGCATTGTTTCCTTTTTTCCAGTTTTTATGAATATTTACAATGAAACAAAATAATAAATGAAAAACTACAAAACACAAAAACAGCTCCTAAGCTCCGCCCCCCAAATTCATGGATGCACATTCCCAAGGCAAACAACACTGGGCTGGCAAACTTATAGATGTTCTGCTGGCTGGGTGACTGGTGAAAGTGGTGGCTCTTGTGACGGCAGGAAAATGTTAATTCAGGCTTATTTTAAGTCTATCATACAGCCCACATGGAAGAAAAATATACCATACACAAAAATGCATTTCAGAATATATTGCCATATTAATAATATTAGTAAATATATTTCAAAATGCATTTATGTTAAAATGCATGGTGAAATAGTACACATAGAAATGTACTACAGATAAATACATGTATGAAAATATATTTATCAAGCACATTCGAAAATGTATGAAAATTGCCTAAATTGCCTTTAAATCTCTCACTTCATTCTCAGTCTCAGCCTTTTGAGAATGGGGCTTCTGACTTTGGTACCCAAACACCAATCTACCTAACTTCTCAGGTGGCAGAGCAGTTCTGTGAACGGGACAGCACCTGAAAAAAAGCAGAAGCGCTTCAAAAAATAAAAATAACATAGTGCTGGATAATTAACTTATTAATCAAATGAAACGATGGAAAAATGGAAAAAAATTCAGGTTTCCTCCCATCAACCAAACAACCATCACAGGACGAAGTAAATTTAAATTGCCACATCGCTAAATATTCTCAGTACAAAACCAAAATAACATAGCCAGCACAGCATTTTATTTAGGCTAGATAAATTCATGTGTGATGGGTTACTATTTACTTAGACATTTTTGCAGATTTATTTCGTAAAATTTTTATAGCCTGCAATGCTTGTACCACACAACTTATTAAAGAATGTAGTGAGTTCCAGTAATTCCTTATCTCTGAACATCCTCAAACACTAAGCGCCACAAACGTACAGCCCATGGCAAATCCCTTTAGATAGTGGTGGCTCATGTGCCTGCTCACAGTAGCTGTGCAGATTGTGTGACAGCTACCATGAAATATAAAACACATAGTTCCGGTTCTAAAATCTGATTAGCTGAGCCACGTTGGAAGCCGTTGTAAAATCCCTGATACACCATGGCTATGACCTCACAACAACTGAACTCCGTATTACTGCGGCACGGCAGGAAAACCCTTTAATTGATTAATCTTTGACTCTAATACTGATCACACAGAGCACCGAATGTACTGACCCGTTTTTGTTTAAACTGAGGGGCTGAAAACTAATTTTCTTTACTGGAACTAGGCTGGCCAACAGGCTAAAAGATAGCAAACATGCTAAACAACTCCAACATTAATATTGCAGGTTTGAATTAAAGTATTCACAATATGATTAACCGAAAAAGGGCAATATAAAAGTCTAAAGAATGTCACTTGAATGACTTTACACGCTTCAAATGTCCATGTTTCAGTCAGAAGTAGCGTGAAACCCAGGCTTACTCCCTGGCTAAATAGTGTGCTGTGTAACATTACGTTTAGAGAATTCTGCTGTCAAATAGTGCACTGCTTGTGGAGTATAAATGTAATATAAATGAATCCCAAATGACCATTTTTAGCGATATTTTGCATTGTTGGGGTGCAGGAGTCAGTATTTAAATTCCTAGCTATGTAGTGCACTATGTAGGGACCAGGGAGCCATTTGAGATTCATCCCCAGCATGAGAAAAGTAGCATCATCAGACTGCAAAAGAAGACTCGCGGTGGTAATTTGGTGACCAAAAAGTACTTATAAACTTGAAGTGTTTGCATTAAACAGTGCCATGTTACATATGTTCACTGTTCTGCAAAAAAAAGTTGTAAAAAATCTTGAAATATCTGCAATGTATACAGCGTTTGGCGACCGAACTTTCTTCTCCTCATTCAGTGGTCAATGGTTGCTTAGCAACGATACCGCACTCTAAAGGAACTACATTTCTTGGCAGAATACTTGCCACTTACTTACTTTATGTCCATCCATCCATCATCTAAACCGCTTATCCTTCTGGGTCGCGGTGGTGTGCTGGAGCCTATCCCAGCTGTCATTGGGCGGAAGGCAGGATACACCCTGGACAGGTCGCCAGTTTATAAAAGCAATAACACTGCCGTCAAAGTGATGGTGCAGTGGCGGTTGCTAATAAAAGTGACAGTGAAGTGACAGTGAAGTGACGGTCAAGTGGCGGCCGCTAACAAAAGTGGCAGTGAAGTGACGGTGAAGTGGCGGCGCAGTGGCGGTTGCTAATAAAAGTGACGGTGAAGTCGCTGTGCAGTGGCGGTTGCTAATAAAAGTGGAGGTGAAGTGGCTGTTTCCTGCTGTCACAAGAGCCACCACTTCCGCCCGTCACCCGATACGCAGAGATCCAACTCCCACAGGAAAACCTTTCGCAAACGTTGCACGGACAAATACCATGATATAATGTTAGAGCAAACATCCACACAGCAAGTAATGTAACTAGCTAGGTTGTGGGTTAGCAACTGTTGCTACAATTGTTACTGTGGAGCTAACTTGTTGCTATCACAAACATTAGCAAAAGGAACAAAACAATACTGATGTATTGGCAAAAGTAAGTCAACTGTAACCCAGTCAAGCAGGAGCACCCTCATCATGCGTTTTCATGCCTTTTAACTCTCAGTGAAGCTGAAATCAGCTTATTTTACCAGCTTCTTGTTCAGATTTTCTCATTCCACTGTAAATGGTGCAGCAGTTAGGTCATATTCAGGTGCCTCAACTTCTTATTTGAATTTTCCCATTCCACCTTAAACGAAACAGCAGTTATTCATGTGCCAGAATGGAATTGCTGCGAGATTTAAGGTGGAATGGAAAAATGCGAATACCAAGTAAACTTTAGCCTCGTCAACTTTTGGAGGTCTCTCCACCATTGAAACGCCTCACTGTCAACTCTTGGAGGTCTCTTTAGCGCTGAAATGCCCTTGTCTCGTCTAAGAACTTTCTCAGTCTTTGTTTTTCAGATCGTCTCCTCTTTGGCTATTTAACGGCCATCTCTCTTTCTTGGCAATGTGTCAACTTTCGGACTCCCTGTTGCTGATTGGCTGGAATAATAAGGATATGTGTCTCAGCCCAAGACACTTTGTTTAGTTCTCTTTTACAGAGCCAAGGCTGTGTACAAACGCTGCATTTTTTTTCCAGCTCAGACATAGAACAATATGGAGATGAATTTGACAAAGCGTGTATTGGATTGAAATAGTATACAGTGCCTTTAAGTGCCCCACTTTAGTCACAGCTTGTCACTGATTGATATGCAAACTCGTTACCTTTCAGTGAAATTCGTAGTTTTGAATAATGAATATGCTACTCAAGTGAATTGATTGAAAGAGTTCAAATAGAGCTGCTGGATAATATTAATTTAGCTAAATGTGCCTTAATGGTACTGATAAATAGAACCTTTGTGCAACAAAGGTTTGTTGAGTGGTTTGTTTTATTTTCACACGTATGATATCTTTCTTCAACAGCTTTAGAAAAGTGGGTGCAAAAAAGCTACTATGTGTAAATTGTCATTGTTTTCAACAAAGACAGTCCGGTACCACTTCATTTTTGTCTGAAATTGATACACAACATGTTGATTTCTTTGGACTGTAAAAATTATGCAAGCTGTACAGTCCTCTGCAAAATTATGTGTTGATCATATGGGTCCAAGCGTCTCATGCCTTTTGGAGCAAGTAAAGGCCTTTTAGCAGATGATAAGCAGAGCACAAATAATAAGCAGAGTTTGTAGAATGGGCTATGTTTAAACTGGTGAAGAGGGATTCAAAAGGAAATATCTAAATTTATTACACAAAAATTTTAATCAAGTAACTAAAAATGCCTGGAAAGTTTTTGACATGACTTGTACACAGTACTAGTCCTGAAGAGCCCCTGAAGCTGCAAATTCTACGAAAAATGTTTCTGCTACAGAACATATTAATTGTTTTCAACATGAATCGGCTTTCCATCTATAACTCTATCTGGGTATGATGGAGTAATGACACTGAAGAGGAGTACATTTCATCTTCCAAGTTTGTCTTCAACCTGTTGGATTTCCTACTTGTATACTGTATACTACTACACTGTTTTTTTAAGCATGACTTTGTATTGCATAGTTTGTTATACTTGGGTATTAGTATACTATACACTATATTTTTGAATTGTCTCATACTGGAATATGAGCCCATGCTACAAAAAACAGCTATTTTCTTGTACATTTTTTTGTAAAAAACCAAAACATTTTTTTGTAAAAATCATATAAACATGCTATGGCACTGTTTAATGCGCTGTATTTCTTTGAAAAAGGGGTCACTAAAACACAAAGCATAGTCTAGCTTTTTAATGCAAAGGTTGTTTAAAAAATAGAAAACAAACTAAATAATAATCCAAATAAGTGTGTAATGATTCACGTATGGTTTTTCGTTGGAGCTTAGATGTGATCAGGGTCCCATGGTGAATGAGATTTAAGCCTCCGTTGGTCATCTATGCTTGAATTCATTGTAACTATTAACTAAGATATAATTGAATTACAGGAAGTTAATCCTGCCTCAGATTGCAGTGGATGCAGCACAGGACAGGGATTTTGATTTGCAGGGGTATGTGTTTGAGGCAGCACCAGAGCAGCTCAGGCCACCTAGGATTGTCCGTGTGGGACTCATCCAGAACAAGATAGTTCTTCCCACTGATGCTCCTGTGCTTGACCAGGTAAGACAGAGACAGCCTAATCCACACAGATCAGTCTCACACACTGTAGTGATCTAAGCCTTTGTAAGTGCCATGGACTCACCTCTAAGCTCTTACATGGCACCTTTTTCATTTTCAGGGTTCATTCAGTCAAGCTGATTTAATGAACTACTTGATGACTGACGTCTTTTTTCATAGATTACAGCTCTTCACAAGCGAGTAGGTGAGATGGTGGAGGTAGCTGCTATTTGTGGAGTCAATATAGTCTGCTTCCAGGAAGCCTGGAGTGAGTAACAACATTGTTTTCATTCTAATGGTGTGATAAGATTTTGCTACCTTTATAAGTTACACACTTCCTTAAGCACCAAAGCTTTAAGTGCCCCACTTTAGTCACAGCTTGTCACTGATTGATATGCAAACTCGTTACCTTTCAGTGAAGTTCGTAGTTTTGAATAATGAATATGCTACTCAAGTGAATTGATTTAAAGAGTTCAAATAGAGCTGCTGGATAATATTAATTTAGCTAAATGTACTGGAAATCTGTGCCTTAATGGTACTGATAAATAGAACCTTTGTGCAACAAAGGTTTGTTGAGTGGTTTGTTTTATTTTCACACGTATGATATCTTTCTTCAACCGCTTTAGAAAAGCTACTATGTGTAAATTGTCATTGTTTTCAACAAAGACAGTCCGGTACCACTTCATTTTTGTCTGAAATTGATACACAACATGTTGATTTCTTTGGACTGTAAAAATTATGCAAGCTATACAGTCCTCTGCAAAATTATGTGTTGATCATATGGGTCCAAGCGTCTCATGCCTTTTGGAGCAAGTAAAGGCCTTTTAGCAGATGATAAGCAGAGCACAAATGATAAGCAGAGTTTGTAGAATGGGCTATGTTTAAACTGGTGAAGAGGGATTCAAAAGGAAATATCTAAATTTATTACACAAAAACCTTTTGACGTTGATATGGTATGCTATAGCTTATTTTAATCAAGTAACTAAAAATGCCTGGAAAGTTTTTGACATGACTTGTACACAGTACTAGTCCTGAAGAGCCCCTGAAGCTACAAATTCTAAGAAAAATGTTTCCTGGAGTGAGTAACAACATTGTTTTCATTCTAATGGTGTGATAAGATTTTGCTACCTTTAAAAGTTACACACTTCCTCAAGCACCACCCAGGAATTCTTACTACACATTGGGGAACTCCTAGGGCCTTATCTGTGAAATAAAAAAATGCATTGCTATAAATGTAAGTTTATTTAAAATTTAAAATGTAAATGTTGATGTGAATCGCTGTTATCTTAGTACTAACATATTAGTAGAATCACAGAAATGTGCATTATTGTACAGTTTTTTTTTTTTATTTATGTCCCAAACTTAAGGCCGAATAGTCACTGCTGCTACTAGTTAGTGAAGTTTGATATTTTGAATTCATCGTACAACAGGTAACTGAATTAAAAAAAACAGTTTAGAAACAGCATTTCCAAAGTCTCTCACCACACCAACAGCAGATCAACCTTTATAATTTCCTTGTAAAAAAATGTAAAACAAGTTTAGCCAGGTTTGTGCTTATGCCCTCATTATCTCAGTCCCCCACTGATTGAATTAACTCTGGGGCTACCATAACTTTGTATAAATCAATCTTTCTCTGGCCTTGCCTAATGGTCCTCCAATTAAGCAGATTTATTTCTGGCATTACAATGGCATTGACCACGATAACTGGTATAAAGCGTATTTGCTCACAAGGTGACTTTGTATCTAACTTTAGGAAAATTTTGGTGACCAGAAAACTTCTTATTTAACCAATTTAATCATTGAAATTCTTATAAGCAATGTAGGTGACCACATGGGTGATAGCCAGGGGGGCAGCATCTATGATGCCAGACCAGTTTGGCAAGGGGGACCACCACGTTCACCACACCCACCCATTTCCATCACTATATACATGCCTTGTAAAAGTATTCAACCACCTTGAATGTTCTCAACATTCAGAATGTTCTCAGTAGTTACAAAGAATATATACATATTTTCCATAAGTATTTTTATGTGAACCTCCAGGATTAAATTTTCAAAGAAGATAGAGAAACAGATAGATTTAGGGTCTACTAAGGGCACCTATGTGACACATCGCCCACATAATAATAAACAATGAGTGTAGGTACAAAATTAGTATACCTAAAAAGTGACCAGTGAAAATTGTGCTTTAGAAGTTGTAGATAATAAAACAGAGGTGAAAAATGCCAAGAAAGATACTGCTCTATAAGCCCCAGATGATATATCAATTAAAATCCATTAGATTTTCTTCAAGGCATGCCAGTGATTGTGACACGATTGTTGTGTGTTGCGATTGTAGCAAGAATTGTGTGTTATTATGAAAAAGAATGTTTTTTTTTATGGCTTTAGTTTTCTTTTAATAATTTACCCTCAGTTAAGGTTAGATTTCTTTTATATTTCCAATGTCAAGATCAAACTGATTTTTTGCATAGAATTTTTTCCTCTTCTTTATCAAGGGTGGCAGTAATTCTGGAGGGCAATATAACTTTTTTGTGTCCATCCCCACAGCAATGCCTTTTGCCTTCTGTACAAGAGAGAGGGAGCCATGGACAGAATTTGCTGAATCTGCTGAAGACGGTTTCACCACACGCTTCTGCAAAGAGGTAAAACGTCAAAATTTTCGTGTAAAACATTATTGAAGATCAAAGCGATATCCATGTTAGCTTCTTTAGTTTTGCACAAGAGCTATGATGCTTATACACTGACCGGGCCAATTCAGTAAGTACACCTCCTTGTAGCTATACTCTTTAACCATTTTATCAGGTTCATTTCAAAGAAGAACTTTGTAGTTCTACAGTTATAGACTGTAGTCCATCTGTTTCTCTGCATAATTTGTAAGCCCCCTTTCACCCTGTTCTTCAGTAGTCAGGACCCCCACGGGACCTCCACAGGGAATGTATTATTTGAGTAGTAGATCATCCTCAGTACTGCAATGACTCTGACATGGAAGTGGTGTGTTAGTGAGTGTTGTGCTGGTATAAGTGGTTCATACACATCATTCACTCTATTAGACACTCTTGCCTTGTTGGTCCACCTTGTAGATGTAAAGAGACAATAGCTCGTCAGTTACTGCACAGTTTGTGTTAGCCATCCACTAGTGCTTCATCAGTGGTCACAGGATACTGCATAGGGTACTGTTGGTGGGATATTTTTGGTTGGTGGACTATTCTCAGTACAGCAGTGACACTGAGCTGTTTAAAAACTCCAGCAGCACTGCTGTGTCTGATCCACTTATACCAGCAAACGAGCTGTTAGTAAAGAGAAACTCTACTTATGCTGCTCAGTTTACATCGAGTTTGTCCAGAACGAGAGAGCACAGAGAGGATGCGCATAAGTGGTCTGATCTGTCAGTTGTATGCATATTGTAGCATATTCAATAAATGTTTACATGTTAGTTTTAGGTTGGTGTTCTTCAGTATTTATTCACTGGGTTTATTTTGCTATGGACCCATTGTGTGAATGAGTCGTGAGTTGGGTAACAAATTAGCTATTAGAGAAAGAAAACTCTGCTTATTTTTTATGGCATAGCAGTGGCCAGCAACAGCTGGAAAATAAAGCCTCACGACTTGTGTGAAAGCTGTGTCTCTTTTCTTGCTCACAGTGAACATTACATTATTGCACTTTATGACACATGTAATTTAATTTAATTTAAAAAATTTAATGAAAAAAGGCAAATCATTTTGTATGACGTATATATGCTGATTAAAATTTCAGCACCCCCAAATTAAAAACACATCCTTGACACATCCCTGCTGTGTAGTGCTGAGAATGATCCACCACCTATATAATACCTGTCCTGTACATGTGCTGGTCAAGGGTTAAAGGGGCTAACAAAGTATTCAGAAAACAGATGAACTACAGTCTTTACGTGAGGAACTACAAAGTGCCCCTGATAAAATGGACAATGAGTATAGATACAAGGAGGTGTACTTAATAAAGTGGCAGGTCATATAACAAGTAATAGCTCGTGCCTTATCAACTGCACACCTAAGACATACACCTTTTAATGCGGTTTCTCAGACTTTATAACAAACTTACCTAAAACTGGACAAAATGATTGACAAAATTCAAGATAGCCGTGTAACATATTTTTGTCCATTTTTGTGGATAGCTGTTTTAAAGCCATACACATTTCACCTCCCATATTTTTGCCAAGGACAACTATGTAATTAAGTTTAGGAAGTATGGAGTCAAAAAAGGGTCAAAAAGCCACCTTCATGCTGGCTCCCATGGCCGTCACCAGGGCCCGGGGGACTGGCTCATGACAATATTATTATATTAACATAAGTGACTGCAAAATCAAATGTCCATAGTTTTTTGTTCTATTACCTAACATGTACACATACTGCTAGAGTCAGATACCTATATGTCCGCATATGCCCTTGGTCAAAACACCATTAGAGGCGTGTACCAGCAGCTTACCAAAGCTTTGACAGACAGCAAGCAGTCAGGGTTGTGATTGGATAAGGCAAACTAGCTTTCTGATCGGACCAGTTTAAGCCTTCCTATTGATTCATCAATTTGCTGTCAAAACAGTGTCAAAAATCTGCAGTTGCAAAAAGAAGTTCACACAAACAGAAATGGAGATGTGTTCGTGGATTTGTACAACCACACAAAAAAACACTGTCACACTTGGAACTTCAAACTTTTCATGTGATTCTATTGTGTGGCACAATGTAAATCATTTGAGTAGTACTGATTCACACATTCACAGCATTTCATTTACAAATGCCAAATTTTTTTACACATGCAAAAATCCTTTCTATATATTACAAATATTTTTATGCATTTGTAAATTTGATTTATTATTATAATTATTTTGGTTACATATTTGCAAATTCCAAATTATTTGTCAGAGCACCACTATGTTTTATATCTTATTCACCTAACCTTGTTATGTAAGTTCTTGTGATTTGAATTTTCTTTTCCTTCAAGCTGCAGTAGGTAGCCTATATAAAAACATCTTTTTGTCATATTTGGTAAAACTATGCGCTGACAGTAGTACAAGAGACAGAATATCTGTGATCAGTCAGCCTCCTCTGGCTCCACCTAGTGCTCCAAATTCCATTTGCAAGAATCCACTGTGCCTGAATCAAAACCAGGAGGAGTGTTTGATAGGTTGACATGGCCCGAGATAAAACAAGGGCAAACATTGGGGCAGTTTTTCGGAGGTGGAGCTGAAAGGCTTCAAATCCAAAGCTAAGTTAACCACATTTCTTCTTGACGGGTAATTACCCCTGCTTGATTTATGTTTTATTTTATTTTATTTAATTAACCACAAAGCTAAGATGTTAATGGTTACAGTAACACTACGTAGCGTATATCTCAAAATACTGTGACATTGCAGTTGGGCTAACGCTAGGTTGTTTCTGTTGCCAAGGCTATTGGTTAGCATTGTTTTATTTAAAAGTTGCGGAAAATATCTTTGTGAAGTGCCCAGGCAGTCGTTTGGCGTTGGTCCTGCTATTTATGTGTGCCTGTGCTCTCACAGCTAATTTTTCAAACAAACATCTAAGCACTGATAAAAGTGTGTGCTAGTTCTTTTACCAAATGGACATTGTAGATTACCATTAGTAGTAGATTAATTTTTTAATGTCAAAAGATTTACTTCTGCTTGTTTGCTAGCCAGTAATGTTGACAGCAGTACTGTCTAGCCTAGGCAGCTGTGGTAACTTTCACAATGTAAAATGGCAAAATAATCCAGTAAAAATCACTGCGTGCACAGCAGTCTCTTCTGTGGGGAGCTGGAGAAGGAAAGGGAGGGGCCTGAAAGCTGTACTTATTCAAAATTTCAAACCCACTCTTTTCAAGTCCACTCTCTTCTTAATCTTGCCTACTGCAACTTTAATTCCCATAACAGCACATCCTAATGTAACCAACTTATTGCACTGTGGGACGTATAAGGTTAAATATGTCCCACAACAAGCCATAACAGGACACCCCTATGGCCCATCATACTTAAAGTCAAAATTCCATTAGACACACCCCTAATGTTTCTTCCAGGTGTACTTTGTATGTGACCTTCTAGCTGTCAGCGGTAGTTTGTTCTTCAAGCTTGTAAAAGTTAGTACCTGATAGTCTAAAATTAAGTTGAATGCAGATTTCTGTCTTGACAAGACATTTTGTATTCTTTCATTGCTTTAGAGATTGTTCATGACACTAAACACCTGCTCCACATATGCACTGCTCACAGGAATTAATAAAAAATTTTAAAATGAAATAGTAGGAATTTAAAATAAATAAAATAAAGTTTTGAGATCACACAACTTATAGGTTAAGTAAAAACAAGTTAAAATAATATATGATATGGTGCTTATTCTGTGATACACTAATGTTAGTTCTGCAGCTATCATGCAATCTTTTTTGGCAGTGTCCTTGAGTTTGACAGACATTGACTGGTTTGCTGAGAATGCTGGCTCCATTTATGTCAATCTGAAATTTGGGAATTTGTTGGCCATTTTTGCACTTCTTCTTCATTTTAGACATACTATAACTTGTGGTAGCTCTCTTTATGATTGCCCAATGCCACTGAGTTAAAAAAAAAAAAAGACAGTTATGCTAAATGGCACGATATTGGCCTAAAATTGACAGTAGGAGGGGGGGAAATGAGGAGTGGCAAACAAGCTAACCAGTATGATTTTATTGCTTGTTTCCCACCCCCACACAATTTGTGAGAATGTTGGGGGCAGTTGTGGGCTAGAGGTTAGGGAACCAGCCTCGTGTCCAGAAGGTTGCCGGTTTGATCCCCTGAGCCAACAGTATGTGACTAAAGTGCCCTTCAGCAAGGCACCTAACCCCCAGTTTCTCCCCCACTGCTCTGGGCAAGTGTGCTCACTGACCCTAGTGTGTGTGTTCAATGTGTGATGGGTTAAATGTGTAGGTCTAATTCATCTGTGTGCAAGCACGGTTGGCCAATGGTTCTGAATTCTGAAAACTGGACAAATGACAGTCAAAAATGGACATATAGTCCTGGTGAAAACTGGATGGGTGGCAACCCTATATACTTAGTGTGTTCACTGTGGTGCTGGGCACTGCACTTTTGCACACTGGAGATATGGGACACATCCAGACATTTACCTGAAAGCATGTGCATACACAGAACTAGTATACAAAACTGCAAGTGTGGAATTTGAAACAGGCTATACATCTAGCCTCTGCTGTCTCAATCTCAACTTCAACTTTGTGATCAGAAACTGTGACCATGTGAACTGCACCACCGTCTGTCCTACACAAGTCTTGTTGGGTCAAAGAGAATATTGCATACATCTCACTACATCAGCAAGCTAATTAGACTCAGCTAACCAAACTTCAAACTATATCTGGTGGCCCAGCACCCACATTTAGCCACTTTCTGAAGTGTACATCTGACACCAAATGTCTCTGCCACCTCGCTGAATTATGTAAACAACAGTGAACTATTTATGAATGAAACAGTTTTTTTAGTTACTGTATGGTTATATCTCATGCCAACAGAAACAAACATTAGCCCCTATCCAGAAAATAGTCAGATATACAGTCCAAACAAAACTCAAACAAAAAATGCAAAACATTTTAAAGAACCTGTATTTATTCTGTTTTTCTTTTTTGATTTGTAGCTGGCAAAAAAGTACAACATAGTAGTAGTGTCCCCCATTTTGGAGAGGGATGAGATTCATGGAGGAACACTGTGGAACACGGCAGTTGTGGTGTCGAACAGTGGGAATGTCCTGGGAAAAAGCCGAAAGAATCATATTCCACGTGTGGGAGATTTCAATGAGGTCAGTGTGTCTGTTCTTCTCCAAGTGCAGATAAATTGTCTGGATATCTTATCCATTTACACAAGAAAATATTGTTAAATATTGTCAAATGTTAAAATATTAAAGAAAGTTAGTAAATAATCCCTGGTTGAGATTTGTTCTGTACCCATGTGGAAAAAATATATGGACATAAAATGTATTTATTTATTTGTATTAAAATGTATTTATCAAATACATTTGAAAATGTATAAAAACAGCCAAAACACTGTCTAATGCACTTTACTGTTTCGAATACCTTTTGAAATGAATTTGTATTCCAGTGTCTTCATTTTAAATATTAGCAAAAGAACCTTTAACATGGCAAAAGCAAGTTTAGTAGGTATTGATACACTGTGAAAATGCAGTTATGATTTGATATCTTGTTTTTTGTGAGCGCTGTCTTACTTCATATGTTCATGGTTAATGTAAAGTACAGTGCAAAACAAAGAAGTCAGTACCGTTCATTCAGTTCATGTATATTTAGTTATATTTGTAACCTTTGTTAAAACTACATACAATTGAAAAAATATAATAAGAAATATAAATAAATGCATTTTAAAATATATTTACAAATACATGTTTTAGCCATTTTCATTGCAAAAATATATTTGATAAATATGTGAAATGCTATTTTTTCCCCGTATGGGTACCTGGTCCAATCCAGTGTGCAAAATACCCTATACCAGGGGGGCTCCCATTAATACTCCAGGAGCCAGATTCTCAAAACATTTTAGACAGCCATAACCTAATAGGACTATTTTATCTTTCGAGCCTTGGAATTACTACCACAATGATTCTCAAATTATTTTAGTGCCATATTGTCACATCATCTGTTTTATCTGTGGGAAAGATTACAGTCTGAAGTGTAGCATGCTGTTTCACCTCATGACATGGCATGCATGCACTTTCACAATTAATTCCTGTTTAGGTGTGTGCTATCACATACATAATAATAAAAACAACACTGATACTATGGGCATTTGGGAGCAATTATTACATGCCTACAGATTTCAGATTTTTGAAAATATTATAGGGGGATGGTGTTAGGTGGTGCAGTGGTTTTACAGGTTTCCCATCACCCACCTCCCCATTTCTATTAGGATTAGGTTTACAGGTATGTATTTATGACATACAGTAGACTTAAGTTGACTCGAAATTTCTACCCATAATGTCTTTTCAGTTTGTATAAACACAATTCTAAAAATGTTGGGATGTTAAATGATAAATGTGAAATGATAAAAACAGAAAACAGTGATTTGTAAATCTACTTTGACCTGACCTTAAACAAAAATAGGACATAAACAAGATATGTAATGTTTTATGTTCAAACTTCATTGCTTTTTGTAAACATATGCTTATTCTGAAATTTATACCTGCAATACTTTCCAAAAAGTTGGGACAGGGGCAATTTAAGACTAGGAACATTGTGAAATGTTCAAGAAAACACCCTAAACAGGTGAGCTGATGCAATCATGCTTGGGTATACAAGGACCATCCAGGAAAGGCCTAGTCCATTATGAGCAAGGATGGGTTGAGGCTCACCAGCTGCAAAAACAGTTTAAAAATAACATTCTTCAGTGAGTGATTGCAAGGATTTTACGTATTTAACCCTCTATGGTACATGATATCATCAACAGATTCAGGGAATCAGGAGAAATCTCTGTATAAATGGCAAGATTGAAATACCACAACTGAATGTTCGTGACCTTCAGTTCTTCAGACAGCACTGCCTTCATTACACCTGGCATGTTTCTGTGACTGATCACCACATGAGCTCGGGAATATTTTGAAAAACCATTGTCTATAAACACGGTTTGTCGCTGCATTCACAAATGCAAGTTAAGAGTGCACTATGCACAGTGAAAGTCATTTGGTATATGTCCAGAAACACTGCCAACTTCACTCCCTTGTGGTGTGATGAGTCAAACTTTCGCATTGTTTATGGAAACAATGGTACATTGTGTTCTTCCGGCCAAAGAGAAAAAGAAAACATCAAATTGTTACCAATGTAAAGTTCCAAAGTCAGGGTCTGTCATGGTGGCAGGGGGGTACTGGTAACTTGCATACCTGTGAAGTCTTCATTAATGTTTAACACATTTTGAGTAGCATGTTCTTCTAGATGACATCTTATTCTGCGACGTCCATGCATGCGGATGCTAGACTGGCCTTCCTGCAGTCCAGACCCTTGTCCCATTAAAACATGTGCAAAACACAACAATGACGGACCCATACAGTTGCACAGATGGAGACTTGGAAAAAAAAAATTTGCTTTCAAAACTGGATCTAAACTAGTTTTTGTCTTAAGTGCACAAATGATTATTAAGTGTTGTTAAAAGAAAAGGAGATGTAACCATGGAAAACATTCTCCTGTCCCAGCTTTTCTGGAATGTATTACAAGCATTAAAATTGGAACAAGCAGATATTTACAAAAACAATAAGATCAAATATTGAATTTAATAATTCATTTTAATTTAAGTCAACCAGAATTTACTGATCATTGCTGTTTGTTTTTATTAGCATTTTTCATCACTTCACAGCATTTCACAAAGGTAACATAAAAATGAATTGATTTTAAGTTCTGCTTCTGCAAAAAAAAAAGTTCTTGAGCAAATTGGTGTCATTGATGTCTAAAGACAATGGCAGTGGTTGGGCAGATTTCACACAACAAGAAGCAATTGTGGTGAAGGTGAAAGTGCTTCGTAAAGTTATCAGGGACAACATTATTAAATGACTCTCAAATAGAAAAACTACAGAGCCAGAGCAAAACCTTAAATATCCCTGTCAATACAATTGGTTTGATAATATGAAGGTGGAAATTTTATGAAACCACAGCTAATCGTCTCTGGACAGGTACGCCATGCATGATTTCAGCAGTCACTCGAAAAGACTTGCAGGACGACCTGAAAGCATCAGAAACAAGAGTCCTACACCCCAGCTCAGAGATGTTTGCCTAAAATTTTCACACTAGCATTTATTCAAATCAGAACTCTTTTCCTTACAACAATGTGCTCAATAATTCAGCTCATCGTGTTTGTTGAAAGAACCGTTGTGCATACAATCCCAAGAATGCCACGGTGAAGGATATGAGGCTTCTTTGCAAAACTTACTGGGTCATTATACATCATTGAAGGAAACATAAACAGAGTATTAAATCAGGACATATTAAAGGAGAATTTAATCTCATCAGCCAAGAAACTGAATCTGGGGAGAATATAGATGTTTCTGCAGGAGAAACAACCTTAAACATACAGCCAAAATAATTCAAAATTGTTTTCTAAACAAGAAGATGAACGTGCTTGCATGAACTAGCCATGAACTATCTCTTGACTTAAATGCCAGGCTCTTGACATGAATCTTGAAGACGGTTTGCCAAAAGCAATGGGAAAAAGCCATAATGCAGAAAGCTAATTTCTTGTTACCATAGACGTTTAGAATTCCCATGTTAGCTAAGCTCATTATCATGATACCGGGATTTTGTGTTCACATTGTGTCACATTTAATCCACTCTCTAAATTCAACAATTTACAATAACAAAGAAAAAACTTCATTAGCTAACCAGATTTGCTAAGTAGTTAGCCAACTTAGCCAAATTCCTTGGATTTATTGATAATGCACTTATCCATACGGTGCAGATTCTGCACTTTTTTTGCACTGTTTTCAGTTTAGGAAGAGGGTGAAATTTAACTGCCTTCTCAAAACTATCTCGTTATCTGATTTACAGCCCTTTACAACATGTACAATGCTAAAGCATATGGTAATGTTCTAAAACCTTGTCAGAGGTGCTTGGCCCAAGTTACAGTTGCTAATCAATGTACAAAAGTTATTTCAAGATGGACAGTTGGGATTTGAGGAAACAGTTAAGTGACGGACCACCTGAACTGTGGTAAGCTAACACCAAAGCCAAAAGATGCTCATCATTTCAAGGAAAAAGTAGGCTAAAATTAAAACACAGTAACAATGACCTTTTCCTGAATTCATATTTGCATCTTATTTGCATATTTCTGAACTCGCATCTTCCTAATGATATGGACATATTCACAGCCATAGAATTTACACCTTGGATCAGTCAAAGTTTAATTCATTGATTCATCCCACATTGCAGCATTGATGATTTCTGTAAAATAAAAAAAGTATATTTCTGTATTTTTTAGGTAATTTTTATTTAATATAATCCAGTATTTTAGTAATACTCTTTCATTTCTTTTTTTAGTTTTAGTTGGAAACAAAAGTGCTAACATCTTGAAATGTTCAACAAAAAGTTATCCAATCAGGATTTTTTTCTTCCTGTGGTATCTAGGTAGAAACAGCCATGCAAGCTCTCCTGAGAGAGAAAGATCACTCTAGGCTTTCTGGAAGTCCTAGATATGTCACTGACTGTGAATACAAGTGGTAGCCTGACCAATGCATTTCAGTCAGATGTGACAGATGAAACAGTGACAGATGAAACAGTGATAGAAGTTCTTTACTGAACGGCCACAAAGTAAAAAGTATATTAATTGTTAAAGGCATTGAATAAAACATGGAGTATCTTTTACAAGCATCAAATGTCCATGTTTAATCCAGAATGAACAAAAAATGATCACATGAATTGCTGTTAGCTTTATGCTAATGTCTGACCAGAATGCCACAGAAAAGCTAGCACAAATTAGCGTTATTGTAGAGGTGCTTTTTTCCCACATTTTTGACCTTTTTTTTGCATTTGTGGTCGAACTAAAGGCCTAGCACTAATAGTCATGGTTTGCCACATATGTCTTTTTGGAAAAAAGGAAGGCACCAAACAGTAGCCTACACATGACTTAATTCTCACTTTTGCAGAAATATTTTAGTGACACTTGTGCTTATAGCCACATATATGCTAACACATACTAACAGGCATTCGTTTCAGGCCTTATTTGCAAGAAAACTTGATTTTTTATGTATGGGAGAAATTTCACCCCACATACAAATCTCTAACTTAGATTTCATATGCTGTCCCCATTTAG